TGTTATTTTCAAGAATTTCTGACTTATTTTTTTCCTCGGTGTGTGTTTTAAATATGTTTCTAACTTTGTTGCATCCTCTGAGTTCCAATTTCAGTCCCCAGTAATGTTTTCATTGAGTGTTCTTTTCCAGTGGCTTAAATTCTCTTCTCAGTGAAGGAGGCTTACAAACAATGAAAATCTGGTCAAACTTTCCTCTCTGAATTTGAATCCTTTGAGAATTAGACTCAATACATGTAAAGACACTTTTTTAAGCTAACTTCTTGTGTCTCTTCACCTCTGTGAATGACCGTGCCCTGGCCTTGGGCACCCAGAGACCAGAGACATCCATTCTTTCTCCTTCAGCAGTTTCAACACCCATTGTAAGAGAAGAATTGTGCAAGGCATGAAAAACACAGATAAGCGCCCAGCACCGGTCCTTGGGCTTCATGATGAGGGAGGGAGGCACGTGTTGTGAGAGTGTGGCACTTGTGGGTGAGCCCGAGGAAGGAGACATCTGATTTGCAGGGGGACAGGAATCACACGGAAGAAGCTTCAAGGAGGAGGTGAAGCTTGACCAGAATGTTAAAGGTGGGAAGATTTTTTAAAAAATGAGGTAGGAAAATTCAAACAAAGGATAGTTTGAGCCAAAATAAGAGAAGAGAAATAGCCAAGAGCTGTCAGGACCTCAGCACCTCCCTAGCCAGGCGCTCCGCCAGGGGCCCTTCCCCGGGCCTCTGCAGATCTGTCTCTGGCATTTGTCTTGCCTCTCATTCCCCAGTCCCCAATTCATTCCTCCATTGCTTTGTTGTTGTTTTGATTTTATTATTAACTTTTTATTATGAAACATTTCAAACAGGCAAAAATGGAGAGTCTCATGAACTGCAAACACCCTTCACCGTTTCAATGATAATTCTGTATCTCCAACCAGAACCTCCCATTGATATTATATTGACTCAAATCTGATACATTACATCATTAGATCCACAAATATTCCTAAAAGAAAGGTAAGGAACTTCCAAGAAGCATAACCAGGGCAGACTACTCATAATTTAAAAACAAATGAACATGAACGATAGTTACTTAATATTATCATATATCTAAATCTTAGAAATGGCTTTGTTTTTCACATTTTGTTAACCAAGATTTGAATAAAATATATATTTGTGCTTCACTGAGCTTATCTTGTTTTAATTTTGTGTACTGAAGATTGTATCCACAGGCCCCCTACCACCGAGCCACATCCCCAGTCATTTCTATTTTTAATTTTGAGACAGGGTTTCACCTAATTGCTGAGGTTAGCCTTGAACTTATGATTTTCCTGCCTCAGTCTCCTGAGTTTTGGGGATTATAGGCATGTGTAATCATGTCTGACTGAGTGTTTTTCATTCTATACGTTCTCCATTCATCCATGGCTCTCTTATCTCTTTCCCTTGCAATTTATTTGTTAAAAAAATCAGGGCTTTGGTCATGAATTCCCACTGTCCCTTACAGTCTGGGTATTGCCAATTGTTTCCCTATAGTGTCAATATGTTTGTTTTCCTGTCTTTGCATTTCAAATGAATTGGTAGGTATATTTATAGAGTTGATATATGGATTAAATTTTGGGGGGGGCAAGACAACCTCAAATGGCACAGGAGGTACATAACTTCTTTCTTTCTCTTTTGATAGTTATTGCTTACAACCATTCATTCATAATAAGTAGCAAGATGGTAGTATCATAATTCTATCATTTTTTTTCTTCATTTATTGGTGGAAATATTTTCATGAGGATAAACTCCTCTTCATTTAACATTTGTGGGGCAGATTTAATGTGGGAAAGACCAGATAAATGCATGATTTTTTTTCCCTTATCAGTTAGTTTCCTAGTATTGTCCAGTGGTCACAATCAATCTTTCTTTTTAGCATCACTGTGAAATAGTTTATTTAATATTTATGATGAATTGCAATCAATTGTGCTCATTCTCCTGATTTGATGCTGGAATTTCCCTGGGTTTGTGCTGTGGTAGCTTCTCCAAGTTGGCTCTGAGTTCTTTCTACACAAAGACTTCTTTCTATCAAAGCAGTCTTTGATAATTTCTTATTATCTGACAAAATAAAAGATGTTCCAGACCTATCTTTTATATCTCTTGCTCCAGACTTGAAGCCACCCACATCTCCAAAGACCCTTGACTTCTTTCATATTATAAAACATATTATATGGAAACACATTATAAGACTCCAGTTGAATTCTAGAGTTCTCCATTATTTTGAATCTCGACTATTATAGCAAAATTGACCCATCAGCATCTGATTCTTAAACATAGTTATTTACTGAATATCTATGGGGATACATTTTGAGAAATGTGCCATTTGGCAATGTCATTGTGTGAACATCATAGATGATCATAAGATGGCTACATCACTAGTACTGCATCATTATATATGCAGTCCATCACTGACAGCAACATCTTAGGTGGTTAATGACTACATTTCATGTGTTGCCAGATCCCCCTGAAGTCCAGAACTACCCACGTCCCAGTTGCATGTAGCTATTTCCACTGGCTCTTCTTACTTATCAGTTGGATATTCCAAATATGCTTCCCAGCCTCCTCCATCTGCTTTCCCAGATGTGCCCCACTACTCCCCTGCATATCCAACACACAACAACCAAGCTGACCTCCTAGTTGTTTCATGACTGACTCTCCTATTTCCCTACCTCTGTGCTTTTGCTCATGCTTTTCCGTCACTTAGAACGCCTTTCCTCTCTACTCAGGGATATGGCTGATTCCAGGTCAGGGCCAGGACATGTACTGGCCTTCCCCTAAATGCTATCTCTACTTTGGAAACTTGGCTAATCACCTCATAGTGGGTGTCCTCCTTTCTCCAAACTCCCGTGCCTCTGTCTTATGGCATAGATATGTCCACGTTCCCAGTGGGACCATGCATTCCAACAAGGCTGAGATCCTGGCTGATTTTGTCTTTAAATTCCCAGTGCTAATAATATGCTGACATAGCAGAAGCTCCAATAAATGTCGATAGGATGAAAGAATGTACAAATGAACTAAATGAATAACGTATGTTCTGCTTGGTGTTATGGTTAGTAGGTTTCTGTTGTCTTCGCACCTAAGCTTCATCTCCCCAGGTCAAAATGAAGTAGGATTAGGGCTCCCCCATTCACTTCTCTTGAAGTCCCTAACACTGTGCCCAGTTTAGCATAGCATAGCTACTCATTGCCTCCTGCTTGAGTTGAACTGTGTCAAGAAAGAAAGGATTTTAAATCCAAAGGCTCACTCTTGCTTTAGTCAATAAATATTTGAGCTTTTGTCTGTTTCAGTTCTAGTTTAGTGGCAGAGGATCTTGACACCAAAGAAGCTACAATTCCATTTTCTTAGTTTTGCTGTTATGCAGTTCGGGACAGGCCAGCTTATTTTATTCTTGCCTTCTTTCCTTTCTCTTGGAGGCATCCTGTGTGATTGAGACTCTTCTCGGATCATTGCAAAGTCTCAGTGTGGCAGTAAAAAAGCTTCCCAGAATACAGTCCAAGAACAAACAACCAGTGACCCCGGGGGGATGATAGCACAAAAATGCTATTGACAAAAGATGGCCAGAGTGCGCTTGCCTTTATTTGGACAGAGTGAGGAAAGAACTCTGTGTGAGTCTGTTAGCCAAGCACACCCTGGGTGTTCTATTGCTCTTTCAGGGAGTGTCATGTGCTGGTAATATCTGGAGCTTGGGAAGGAATCCAGATCCTTCAGTGGCTGCACAGAGACTTCTTTTTTTTTTTTTTTTTTTTTTTTTTTTTTAAAACATCACTATTTTTATTGACAAGGTTTGTAAGAACAGATATTTAAAATCAAAGGTCAATTTTTAGGTCTTCGTTGCTTATTCCATTCACTTGTATTAAGTATGCTTTCCCCTAATGTCCTAACTTTATCAAGAAACTAACCTGTGAAAATACCTGTTAAATCACTTATATATACATTTCTATGATGCAAAGTTTTTTAAACACTTCAATTGGTACATCAAATATCTGTCATAGGCAGCATGTTTAAACTGATTAAGACCATTAATTTAAAAGACAAAATTTAGTCTTATAATTCAGGAGTGGGCTGGGTACAGTGATGAAAGCCTATAATCCCAGCTACTAGGAGGCTGAAGCAGGAGGATCACAAGTTTGAGACCAGTCTAGGCAACTTGGTAACATCCTGTCTCAAAAAAGGGCTGAGGATATAACTCAGTGTTGGAACACCCCTGGGTTCCATCCCCAGTACAGGGTGGTGGTGGTGGGGGGGGGGACGACATGGATATGACCAGGAGTGGTCCACATGTTGATCACTTTGAATCTTGATTGGCCAAAATTTAAAACGCAAGAGCCCTGATTCCACATTAAATTTCTTTAAGGTTAAAAATATTACTTTTGAGAAACTGTCAGGTATCTGCTATTACCTACACATTATCTTCTGGCATTACACCTCGTACTTTTATCATAATTATAAAGGTGGCCAGATTTCCTGTAAATATCAGCATTTTATATGGTCAAAATCAGTTAATAAAATTAGTTCATTTACTATAAGCCAAATGTGCTTGTACTCAAGCCCACCCTTTCCCAAAGTTTTTGAAGCTTTGATGTGTTGATTTTGGTCTGTCCTTAATATAAAATGCGTCCACAGACACTTTTGCAGAGTTAACACAAACTATAGATGGATGACACTTTTCGAGGCATAGCAGAACTAGACAGTTCCTTCAGTGTTCCCATCACTGAATTCTGACTTCCCCTGCTCTGTCACTCCATCTCGCCAAACACTGACATTTCATAGTTTACAAGTGTAAATAAAGGTCCCTACCTATGTTGAATTTAAAAACTGATCTGCACAAAAGAAATAAAAAAAACTTTATATACAACAAATTGGTTTTTTAAAAATACAAAAATAACATCTGTCATTTCTGTCATGCTGACAATTTGACATATATACACATACAGAAGAAAGTTCCAATTTAGTCACTTGGCTAGCTGTAACTTGTTAAAGATGAGCACACCGCCATTGAGTTTTCACATTGACAGAAGAAAATGTGTATTCAAAATATATAGTAAATACTGCAATTCTCTGCATGTATAAATGCTGGCTATAATAGTTTTGTTCTACTTGATTAAAATATGTCTTAAGCAGTCTAATGTTAAGTGCACTAAAACCCACAACACTTCAGGAATCTATGACCTTATATAAAGAAATCCAAAATGTACAAAGTACAACTATAAAAGCAAGGAACAATTACTGCCATGCAAGATTTTAAACTAAAAACTGCATAGAAATGCAATTTAAAGCGGCAAACTGATTTATGTAACACTCAAGATAAAAAAAAGGTCAGCAGTAATCCTTAACGAGAATTTAGAAAAGGAAATACATTCTCTTTGCTGGTATAATGGTATAAATCAGATCTTCAAATCTATGGGAACAAGTCATCTGTCTCTGTCCTGTATCTCAAGAAATTAGCTCTTTTACAGTTGTTTTTATGAAGTCTTTTCTCTCAGTTAAATCATAAGCAGGATAATTTTCATATACCTCCACAGGGATCTATCCCTCAGCTCTCCTGTGGCTCCACCTTCTCTTTTCCCAGCATTTGCCCCCTGGCTCTTCTCTGGTCCCTTTAGAAATATTTTCTCACCAACTTGAAGCTCTTTGCAAATCTGCTTCATTGTGACTTCCTCCAAGTTGGCATTGGCCAATAATTTCTTCACTGTTTCTTTTATCTCTTCATCTGTAGGTGGTTTCTTCAACTTTTTAATTAAAGGTTCATCATCTGAACTATCCTCAGATTCACTTTCTTTTTTAGAACTGTTTTGATTCTTCTTGGTGGTACTACTATCTGCCTTCTTAACATTTGCACTCTTTACAGACTTTTTATTTTTAGGAGTACCTTTCTGTTTCACTTTTTCCTTTTTAGAGGTCTTTTTTGGTGGCTCCTCTTCACTTTCTTTATCTTCTTCATCGGAAGACTCTTCCTTGTTTTTCTTTTCATCTTCATCACTACTAGATTCATCTGACAGAATTTCAGGACATTTGGTTCGCTTTGCCTTTCTTGCCATTCCAGAACTATTCCGTTCTTTTTTACTGCCTTTGCTAGAAGTTTTTTTAGATTTTGGCAATGGTTTGCCAGAAGGCTTTGGATGCATTAGGAAATTCAAGATCCTCTTCACTAGTTCACTATTTACACCAGATCTCTCCAAATCAAGAACTTCACAGATGCTCTTTAACATGGCATTTCTAAATTTTTTCAACATTTCTTCTTTCTTTTTGTATTGGATACTCCCTTTTTCAAATGGAAATCCACTGAACTGCCCCACATTCTTCTTTAATGAGGACACAGTGCCTGGTCTGTTGTAAAGCAGTTTGTGTAGATTTCTAAGTTCATCCGTTTTTTTCTTGCTCAGAAAGAAATGTATCCTTTCAATTTCACAAAGTTTCTGCCCCTTTCCTTGTGCAATTGTAAATGGCTCTCTTTGTAAGGAAGATACTTGCATTGTCAACCTCTCTACTTTTTTCTTTTCCCTCTTGCCTTCAACAATGAGACTCTTTTCTTTCTCCTCCTCGTCCTCGTCGTCGTCGTCGTCGTCCTCCTCCTCCTCCTCGCTCTCCGCTCTGGGGTCGGGCAGGTCGGGCTCCTTCTCGGACTCGGGCTGGGCGGGGGCGCCGTCTCCGTCCGCGGCAGAGGCCGAGGCGGACATGCTGGACCTGCGGGCAGGGAGAAAGCCGGGCGCCTCGGACGCTCGCTCCAGGACGGGGCGGCCGCGCGCTCCCAGCCGCCGACGCCGCCGCCCTCCCGGCCCCGGGCGCCCGCGTCCCCTCGAGACTTCTGATTACAGATGTACAAAGGGTGATACGAGGTGCCGCTCATCCTGGTGGCCAGAGTTGGGTTTGGTTTCCATAGGTTGCATTTTTTGGCCATGCACATCACTAGTAACCCCCTGAGAAATTCAGAAGTCATAAGACATGATGGAATCTGGATGTCTTGAGACCTTCTTTCTAGTCCCTGTTCTTTTAATAACTAGCTGTGGACATGGGAACATTCTCTCACCTTTTTGTTTCTTAATCTTATTATTGACTAACTATCTGGTCTTAGTTATTCCTGAACTCCATTCTAGCTCTGAATGGACTTTCTGGCTTTCCTGCTGTTGGAAATTCTGCTGATGTGAGTGATTTTTAAAAGAAATGGTCTGTAGAATCTGGAGTTCTTAACTCTGATTGTGGGACTCCTCACAATGTGGAGTTTTGAACACAACATAAGGTTTCCCAAACAACAGTCCTTGCTTTCTTGACTAACTGCGGAGGCCCAACATTTCAGTTGATGCTGCTTCTCCCAGATAGAGTGGACACTCATTTATGCAAAGGATATCAAAGGAAGAGATAAATGGCTGATATGAAAAAATTATTTTCTTTCCAGAACCTCTTGAATATTCATTTCAGCTGTCTGAAGTGGTTGTTATACAAAGATTAGGAATTTCCATTCCTTAAATGCCTCCTCGGCTAGGCATCGGGCTAAATGCTTTCCATGTGTCCCTCACTGAATACTTAAAGCGGTACACTCAGGTAGTTATCCTCAATTTACATGTGAACCTAGTAGACAGAAGTTGCTCACTAAAATGCTATTATGAAGGGGGAAAATAAAGAGAGAAGAAGGTCAAAGGAGAAGAGGAGAAACAATGGGCTACAACTGAAATCATTCACTCAAATCCTATGGAAAACCATGCTGTGAAATTGGGTTTGTCCCATTCCAAACTTAGCGTTTGATTTCTTCCTGATTGTTACATTCAAAAAGTCCTATTCATCTCTCCTTCCTTTCACTTAACATTTCCTGGCATAAGTCATCAAAAGGCTGTGTGAAAAATGTCAATGTTTTCTGCTAGAGGAATGAAATGGCAGCCCTAACCCTGTCTTTCTCGCCTCCCACCAGGTTACTTGGTCAGATTAGCCTCACCATTAGCTAGTTTGGGGCCAAAGACATCTATTATGGACACATTTTAAGAATGGACTGAAAGAAATTTAGGCAGTTCAAGTGCTGGGAGAGGTACCGCAGCAAGGGATGTCATCTTGTCTTTGTAGGGAGAGAGGCTTTGAAAGAGGTATGATGAACTGAGTCATTTTTGTTGACCAATATTCCCCTTCAGGGTGATTTTTTTGTATCTCAGTCCTGTACTGAGATACAAAATTTGACAAATTGATCATAGTTCATCTCTATTATATCGTAAAACCTAACTATCGACCAGAGAAGTACGTTTTTGGTTAGCTCTGAGGAGCCTTGTTCTGGGAGTCCTCTCCCCACTATTTGCTGCTTACAATTAACAACTGGACTTCTCCCAACATTCAAGCCTTGCCTTAGCCGAGGAAGATACACTCCATCATAGGCCTATTAACCATAGCTGTGGTGGCAACAGGGGTGTCTGCATGGACATTAGAGGGCCATCTTTAATTATCCTTTCTCTATGATATGGGTCACAGTATGCAGGTTCAATTTCAGTGTGAACTGGTCCACATTTTTTTTCAGTGCTCTGGTTTACACACTAAACCTGACCAGACAGCTTGCTGTGCTGTGAGGTGTACATGGGACCAGAATGCTAACGACTTGAGACAAAACCTTTGTCTCCATGGGTGAAGTCATTTATTTCACAGGCTCCCCCTGACCCAGGCTCTCTACCCAACGTTTCTCTCCAGTTGATTGACATCTGGGAGGAAATGCTTTCTTCCTTAAAGAGAAAACTGAAATAGGGAAGAGAGTATTAAGAGCAGTTTAAAAAAAAAAAGGCTGGGGCCACATTGCCTCCACTCTCTCTGCCTGCCCCTAGACCCATGCCACCTCCTCACTGATTTGATTTTGGGTAGAATAGAGAGGGTGGTGCTAAGGACTCCTGAGTGCTTTGCTCCACGCGTGGGCAAACCCCTCATATTTCAGACCCCTTTGTATAGCTGATACAAGAAGGAGATCTCTGTCATTTGAATAGAAGTACAGAATGATAGATTTTCAGCCCATTACAATTCATTCCTTGTTGTACCATATACTTACTCAGGACCGACCTGGCTATGGATCGGGACAGGGGAAGGACTGCCATTTTGACAGCTCCAGCTTGGCCCAGTTTCAATCCCATCGATGATTCTTTTCTGACTTGCTGCCACCATGTCCCCGCAGTTGGTTTTCCAGCTATTGTGTCCAATCTATTAGGATCTTATCTGCCGTGGGTCACCTCCCAGAAGCAGACTTTCACCATTCTTACTGAAGACCCTGACCTGGCACCAGCTCTCAGCCTTGGCCCTGTGTGACCTTCTGAAATTGGGTCCACTTATGGCTATATATTTTCACTCATTCCTAAGCTCCATATCTGCACTTTGGATAGCTGATTTTCCTATTTCTTCAATTCCCACAATGGAGACTGGGTGGTATAGGCCTGGATGGTCTGGTTCTATGGGGCTGGGCAGTAAGAGGATCCCTTAGGTACAAACAGTGAGAGGGTAAAAGTTAGAACTAAGGAGAAAAGAGTAAGGAGATCTCATATAAATTTCAGGAGCTACATTGTCTTATCAGTGTGAGTTAATGTTCAGAGGAAAAAAGATGAAAATGAGCAATGGTGAGAAGTGAGCCTATGGAACAGTCCCTGAGCCTCACATATTCCTCCACCCCTGAGTTTTGCACATTTCTATCAGAGATTTTATGGATGGAGCAGATTCATTCACAAAGACTGGGAGTAAGGGCAGGTTATGCCTCCAGCAGGTAAACCCATACTTCTGTTTCAGATCACTACTGAACTTGGTTTTGACACTGTGGTTTAATAATTGGAAGAGTGAAATCACAACAAAAGTATAGGCAACTACATATCGTATCTGTTTTCTTATCCTGGGGTCCTCAAAGAACTGGATGAGAAGAATAACTTCTCTTCCCTTTCTAGATGCCAAAAGTCTGGCTTTAGTTTTCTTTAGCAGTTGACTTTGTCAAGCTTACTCCAATAGAACAGCCTTTTGTGTATTTTTTTTTTCTGCCAAATCCCCTTGGCCTCTGAACTAAAGCAAACTCCACTGAATGTTACTGCTGAATAGCTCGCGGCATGTTTACGATACGTATGACTTTCTCTGGCTGACCTCACTGGAGGGGGCTGTTGCTTAGCCAGGGACCCATTTAGAGTGGCAGGGGATGAGAAATTATAGGCCGTCCAGCCTAACCTCAGAGGTAGGCAGATCTGAGAGGCATTAAGGAGGAATGAGATCACAAAACATCTGGAGAAATATGAACTGACAAAAACTAGCCATTGTGGTTTCAAAAAGGGTAAATTTTATTTGACAAATGCAGTGGGGAAAAGAGAGAGAGAGAAAGGAGGAGATAATTTGAAAAGCAGAGGGTTATAAGACAGTGGACATAAACTACTAGGATTTCCAAAAGGTTTTGACAGAGTATTGCTAAATGGGCTCACACGTTGGGTGGCACCTCTAAGCTTCCCAAAGGGGTGAACCTCAATCATTGCAATAAAGAGCTCAAGTCAACTGATAATTAGACTTTTCTTTTCCTAGGGGCACTCTCCTAAATCCTCAGTTACTATACACTTGGGTAGTAAGGCTACAGCCAAGTAAGAATGTAGAGTTTAAGTCTTCCAACTTTCTCTGCAAGGTGCTTAGTATAATAGGTTCGCTTGGAGTATCTACAAAATCTGTTCTGCAAAGATGGCTGGGTTGCTTAACTAGGACCATCAAGACACTGAGGAAATGACTTTCTAGGTACAGATCAGTCAACTTTGACAGGCCGAATGCACCGGTGTTTGTAAATAAAGTTTTATTGGAATACAGCCATATCTATTCATTTACATATTATGTATGACTGCCTTTGTGCTGCTGTGGTAGAGTTGAGTAATTGTAACTGTGTGTGTTCCACAAAGCCTAAAATATTTGCTATGTAACTGTTTATAGAAAAGGCTTGCCAATCCTATTTTGGTTTATCTGTAACCTTTTTCTACCCATCATTTAGTAGTGGTTCTCTATTACTTCCCTCTGTTTTCTTTTGTCCACAGCACATGCCACTCTCAGAAATATCTTGTTCAGTTATTTAGTTATATTCTGTCTGCTTTCTCCTACTGGAAAGAAAGGTCCTGGAAGGCAGAGGTCCTTTCTGTCCCGCTCATCATGGGACATATTGAAGTTCTTTATCATCATCACAGGAACAAATAAATGAAACTTTGCAAAAGACAATAGTGAAACAAGAGGATGAGAATAAGGTCATAAACATGCTGAGTGGCTTGGTCATATATTTGTGCTTTCTGCTTAGCTGGTCAAACAACATGAGCCCCACATTCTCCAGAAGGAAAATACAAGTAGATCTACCCACTCACTCTTATGGCAAATCGTCGTGACTCACTCTAGCCAACATAGGAAAATATTTTCTTCAATGACTGGTGAAATTTTCAGCCATGGATATTACATACTTATCAGTGGTGGTCTGCCCCTTCTCTAAGATGGCTCCTTTGTCCTCTGTGGCTGCTCCATGCCCATAACCATGATAAGCAAACGTGTCTCCCAATGTCTCAGCCGTGCCCTTGAGGTGGGTAAGTGGAAGCCAGCAGAGACACCATACACATGCAATGATCTAAATTAATCCTGCTTGCCATTTGGAATTTGGGCTTTACCTATATTATACTTGTTTTTAGCCCTTAAAAAGTAATTAGGAAATTGATTGCTATAATTACATAAACTTGAAAACCAATTATGCAGTAAAATAGAGCTTTGTGGTATTAAGGAAACAATAGTGTGAGCCTCTT